TGACCGACGCTCTGACGAAGTATATATGGGCTGGACCGTTAAAAGACCAGTCGGCTGCAGAAGTAGCCAGATTCTACGTGCAGAATGTTATTTTAATGTTTGGTACTCCTAAGCGGTTGCTTACTGACCGAGGAAAGCATTTTAGAAATAATTTGCTGTACGAAGTTAATAAGTTAATCGGTGTTAGTCAGCTTCGTACAACAGCGTATCATCCGCAAGGTAATTCTCAAGTAGAAAGACAGATGTCTCCTTTAGCAGAAGGAATGGCCATGTATGTGTCAGATGACCAGCGTGATTGGGATCAATATCTCCCATTTATCGCCTCAGCGCATAATTCTACGGAACACGACGTCACGAAGATGTCGCCGTTTAAGTTGATGTTTGGTCGTGAGAATGAACTTCCAGTAGATACGATTATTAAATCGGTGGAAGACAGTACGTATCTGAATTTATCTGATTATTCTCAGAAACTAACGGATTTCTTTCAAGAAGCGTATGAAGTTGCGCGCGCGCGTATTGGCATTCGGCAGGATAGGAATGCCGCCGCGACCGATGTAAATCGCCGAAAACTTGAGTTTTCTATAGGCGACCTTGTGAAGGTGCGAGAATTTGCACATCTTGTCAAGAAGGCCGACAAATTGCGACAGAAGTATTCTGGACCTTATAAGGTCTTAGAACGTATTAATGAAAATGTCTATAAATTACAATTGTTGCATTCTTTCCGTCAGAAAGTGGATAATTATAACATCAGTAGAATTGAGCCTTTTTATCCCAGACCATCTGGTGAAGTTCCTGAAATTATTAGGAATGATAATTCTGAATTAGAAAATGTGCCGCCGATTGCTGATGTGCCAAAAGATACGGAGCCGGTAGAAGTCACTGCCCTTGACATTCCAGCCTTAGATCTGCCGTCAGATAATCTCGCCTTGCCAGCGAAGCCAGCGGCGAAGCGTCTGTACCGGAAAAAGACTGTCGACATTGTGCCATTTACCAGTCGTTCAGGCCGCATCACCAAAGCGCCAAAGCGGTATCAGTGTGTTGTTAAAATTAATTTATGAAAATTCGTCGTACATTCCTATTGAGGATTTATCTCGTACATTATGCTGCCTAATGTTTACTTGAATACGTGGATTATTGCTGGTTATCGCTTAATTGATTTAATTTCCCGATATTTGTGGGATAATGACCGTCGATTTCTGTTTTTAGAAGCAATACGATTTATTCGCTCGGTGATTTTCTTCTATGCAGAACGTACTGGTAATGTGCGCCCTTTTCGAGATGCGCCAGTTGAATATTTTCTAAGTTCTAGAAATGAAATTATTGAATTTTATCTCTGTTATGGTTTACAGGGATTACGGTTTCCTCAAAATCTTACTGTAGAACAGTTGAATTTTTTCGATTCATACATGTTTCGTTATATCCTACAAGTAGGAATGTCGCTCAATCAGATTAATATGGAAGAGTGGCATATTTATTGGCAGAATTTTTCCACGTATGGAATTCCGTATCTGAATAGCCAGGTACAGCGATATTTCTGTCATCCGTCAAGTGGTTCGTATTTCTAATTTCAGAAGGTTGTTCTATTCAGAAAATAATTATTCATCTTTTATTATTATTATTATTACGGAAAAAGGGGTAAATGTTTTGCGTTTTGCATTTGTTTGTTCTTGAACAGAAACGTGAAAATTTCTTACTGTGATGAGTCAGATATCAAAATGGCATTTTGATCGTCAGCCGCCCATTATCACAGTCCCGTGAGTGGAATTTGCCAGTCAGTGATGATTGGCCAGTTTTCCTGTAATAGGAGGCGCCACTTGTTGCATGGTATAACATGCCGGCGTGACTTCGCTAAATTGAGTACGCCATATTTCAAAATTCTACAAGTCGAGAACTTTGAATATTTTTTTTTATTTTGGTTATTTCATCCATTAAAAATGGCGGAGGATCTCGGCTGTTATGATCCCGATCATTTTCAATTTCCTGCGGAGGATATTGCACGGGTTAATGTGGAAACACGCCGTGTGTTTCGCAATGCCTGCTTCGGGTTTGCTGATGCGTATGTGCAGCTGATGGATGATCGTCACTTCGACGCCATGTCTCCAGGCATGCGATCGGTTATACCCCGTCTGCCGGCTCGTTACCGCCATTATGGCCGATCTTCCTATTCAGGAAATAGTAATTCCTCTTTAGGATCGGTCTCAGCTGTTGGTGTTTCCTCTTTAGGATTGACTGTGAATGTTGGCGCGAGTACTTCGCGTGGACCTGTTGCTGTGGATCAGCCTGGATGGACTTCTGCGTCTGGCACTCCGCAGCGTTTGCCTCCTCCTACTCAGGAACCTCTGGTGGAATATGTTGTCGAGAATGAGCCGGATTCTGACGGTGACTACATTCCCGGTTACCATATTGAAACCGAGCGTCCACCGCCAGGAGTCCGCTACACCGTCGTACCTGCGCAGACTCGACCGGGTGCCAATCGTGGTGGGCAAATTCGTGTCAGCGCTCCACCACCTGGAGTGGTTAACGATCCTACACCACCAGGATTTCCCCTGCCTCCTATTCCAGGATCGTCTGCGGTTGCTCCTAATTCAGGATATCGGGCTGCGGCTCCTGTCTCAGGTAACTGGATTCACCAGTTTGCTCATCAGCTGCCTATTAGTGGACCGCCAGCACCACCTGTCAGTGTTTCGTTGAATGCGGCTTCTGTTTGCCGTTTCCCTCAACCCCCTGCTGGACCGCGCCATCCTACTGCGTTTCTGCGCCAGCCAAAGGAAAAGAAACCCGGGCAGCTAAAGATCCGCGAGAAACTCCGCCGCGCCTGGGCAGGCTAACCTGTCAGCATTGAGTACTTCCGCCGACATATCTATCAGCTGGAGTACATGTACAAAGTTCCTCGTGATATCGTTCGCGATGCTGAAGCCATGCTGGACGAGATGGACGCTCGCGAAGCGGCACGTGTCGATCCTCGTGAACAGGAAAATCCTATTCAGGAAGAAGCGGCTGCTAATGCTCCTGTACAGGATAACGCGCCCGATCCACTTGCGGACCTGCCAGTTCCTGGTCTCGAAGGGGAAGAAGAGGAAGAAGACGACTTTGGAACGGAGCATCTGTATGATCCTATGGAAAAGGATGCGGAATGAGAGTGCCGATGGATGGGCGATTTACCGATGGAATGGTATTATTTTTGTTGATCTTACTAACATTGTGATGGAATATTAATCTCTGAAATTGTTGCTCATATTTTTATGCATTTTATTAACCACTATTCTACTGTTTTTATCCCGGAAAAAGGGGTCGTGTAGCGCTGCTGATGGTATTTCTGTACTTCTTCATAGAATTCTATATTAGAAGGAATGCTCACTAATCAGTTGCCTTGTGATGATTTGGACTACTTTTATTAATTCTGATTTTGATGTTATTTTGATGATAAAAGTGGAAAAGGTGACTCAGTTCTCGATTATTTTTGTAAGATTCTAAATAGAAACATAATTATGATCATAATTATAAGCCCCCTTCGTATGGGATAAGTGTAGTCCCGGGGCAAACCACTACACGAGGTCAAAACGGTTGACTCTTTGCCGTTATGAATGGATCGAAAGAGGATTCCGGACCTGAAGCGGAACCAAACCTGCCTGCACTCAACCCTATATATAGCAGCGAACACGTACCAAACTGTTTCCACTCAGTTCAAAACGTTTGCCTGTTCGGCTTCCCCTATCCCTCCCGCCGCTTTGGTTTCCTTTCGTTTTTTCCTTGTTTTCCTTGGGCATGTAAAACCCGTCAAATAAAACGAAGCTGTTCTGTTGGCAGATTTTGTGTTTACATCACGATGTTGTGGTTTTTGAGAAAATTGTTGCCGTCTGTTGTATATCCATGGAATCACGAAACTCGGTGTACGCTCTCTCTGTCGCGCAAAGCAGGCCTCGCATGGGTTGACACTAGAGAAGTTTATTGTTTAACTGTATAATAATTTTTGAGCTTTCTTGCTCAAAAATAAGGACGCTTTCAGTGAATCTTTATTTTTGACTACATAATAACAAATACTCTGAGTAGTAATTTCCACCTTAATCATACCGGACATGGGTATCAATACCGCACCATGCATCTTTGCTTAATATGCCAATATGCAACTGAAAATTTTAATCTTACATTTCGGAACTGCAGCGCATAAGAAAAAAATTAACATTATACTTTTACTGTTCACAACAATTTTACACACACATAGGCTGTCAGCATGGGCCGCCACTAAATGTGTGTCAGTGTTTTAAAAGCACTCTGGTCTGGAATCTGATTTAGAAGTACCTATGTAATCTATGTCTGTACTGATGCTTCGCGGTCAGTATTTTAGCGCAACCGGTGTGCAGTGCAATTGCCATTAAGCAGCTTTATATTCTCGACGAGAAATCTGCATTCAACACCTGTTCAGAATGTGCAGAATGTACAAAATGGGGGCCAGGAAAGTTCGGACACGTAAAGCCGCATACAGTAGTTACTAAGGAGGTGATAAATTAATTCCTGGATTCGCGCTATTCCACCACCCATTTGACTGCCTGTTTGCAAGAACGTTTCAAACTCAGCAATTCTCCAATGTATATTGCTAATTGCTGGAAACGCACTTCGGAGATTTGCACGTTGGTCGTCACGGAGCACTTGAGTTCCTTTCCGTTAGCAGAATAGCTTTATCGGTTAGAAAGCTTTAATTTTTCCGAATCGACCACTTGAAAACAGTCGTATGACTCCACCAAAAAATTTGCATGCAGTTGCATAAATTGTGGTCGTGATACAAAGTTCTCGAAAACTACAAAAGCAAAATCACTAGTTTATTGAGTGCTTTCTCCAAACATGCTCTGGATTATTGGCGCCACATGGTACTTGACGCTTGGAAAGGGTGCGGCTAGTTCGGGACACGTGCTGACGAGGCTTCTAATTGGCCTACTTCGGCAGACGGCAGTATAAAATGCGTATAGTCTGCATACAGTCTTATATCCCGTTTATCGAGTTACCGTAGCTTCTTTAAGGAAGATGTTCAATACTCTGCTATTGTTTGCGACCGGCTTTGTAGCCTTGTGGACCGCTTACGGCGATTATGTTCGTGTCAGCACTCCAGAAGGTCAGCCTTCCGATCGCCCTCCATATGTCCTGATCGAGGAGCCGTGGGAAGGCGGTGTTGGCAACTGGAACATCTTGGGGATGGTCCTCATTCCAGGTCTGACCTTACAGGAAATGAAACAAGTTACTGACTACAACGCGCGGGTCAATTACGACCTGCCGCTCTGCCCCAAGGATGGTAATCCTCATTGCCGCGACTGCAGGCCTGGGAAGCCGGACGACTATTTAGTGATGACGCAGTGCTGCTTCTCGCACCACTGGGCCTGGAAGAATAACCGCACCCTTCGCGATATCCTCCCTTACCGTTTCCATTTGGACCCCGTGGCCGATGACCCCACTAAAGAGCCGTATTACAGCTGGAACGGCGGGCCCGGTGGCGTATGGCATAGTAAGCGAATCAGTTAATTATTTAATTATTATTAATAAATATTGTAGCCATTATGCTGGAAAAACTTTGCCCATTCAAATACAAATCCGTTTTGTTATGCCGTACAAGCGATAGTCGGTTTACTGTTGTTAATTGGGGTTTGATATTTTTTTAGCGGATCCATGTACGGGCGAGCCAGCGACGGACATCACCAATGGTTCATATATTCCCTTAAGCCTGCGGCAGAAAAGCAAGTAAACACAAATATGGCGGCATAGCGTGTTAAAAGTGCCGTGTTTTCTGCCGTAATGCGGTTCTTTCCTGAAACTTTGAAAAGTCGCAGGACTGCAAGGGCATCGCGCATTATGTCTACCAGTCCTTCTTAAGATTCGTTTGTGCTCTGTGTGGTTTTATTATCATCGCGATATTTTCTCGCTATGCTGTTGCATGATTGCGAGTACAGTATTCAAAATTAATTAAAATATAGTACAAAATATAAAAAAATCAGTTCTGGTTTTGTGTCTTTCTGATCCGGTGCCATATCATAAGGGGACCACGCAACTTGCAAATTCAATAAACAGAAGCCAAATTCATGAGGTTTTCTAAAATTTCCTATCGGATTAAGAACTAACCTCACAAAAAGTAGGATCGAGGCGGACGTTTTGCTGCTGCAAAACATATCTACAGATAGATGTGACAAACATCAGTTTGCTATAAAGTAATGAAATATAAATTGTTGATGTGAACGCATGGTACCAAAGTCGAGAAGAAACGTGCAAGAAATCTTTCACTTTCGCGCACTCCCAAACCCTTCTTTCTCTTGTTGTATGATATTCTGTAGACAGATAATTTGTATACACGGGCGTGAAAACCGTTTGTGCGCGCAACATCCGGTTTGGGAGCTATGGCTGTTAGAAAATTTAAAACAGTTTAAAAGCATTTAGGTGTTACAAAAGTGATCTTTTCCGAAAGTGATCTTGACTGATCTTTTTCAGATTTTGCACGGAAATGCGCATAACCACGAAGAACGTTTTCACACCGATCCACTGTTCTTAACTGATACTCCGGCTCGTGCCGGCACATTTTATCGATGAACACGGCCGTCTCCACGGTGACCGCGGAATCCGCCGCCTCCAGCGCCAGTAACCAATTCGTTAGAAACGGTCGACGTCCCAGTGCTCCAAGACATCCGGATTACCGGACGCCTAGCCGGTGAGGGGTAGAACGCCAGCCGGACCACCGGCTGCCGGGCGTGGCGGGCCACGCGCACCGGCAACGGCTCCGCCTGCTATTTGGGAAGGACGGTGTTGTACTGGATGCGTAGGAGGGCGTCCAGGACTTTTTCGATGTCCAGAATTTCCAGGATGCTCTGTTTGAAACGCAGTCTTTCGTGCACCCCTTCCTGTCGGGAGCGTTTAGCTGCGCCCAGGAAAACTGCAACGCGATCATCATATTTATCAGCGAGAAATTTGTAAATATCTAAATCAGCTGAAAATGAAACTGCCGAACGTTGCTGCTTTGTCTTCACAAATTTACCTTTTTTAAATAATATAAAACAATATTGACCAAATGAAAAGCCATTTAAATTCTACGATGCAAATCTTAGGGCGGTATCTAGGACAAGAAAAAAAAATCTCAATAAAAAAGGTGACAAAATAGGCGGAAAAAGGGTCATAAACTTCAATTAATGCGCATTAAGGGATTTGGCCCGGTACAAAGCACCAAATTGAGACTTTTGGAGGTCCATAATGAGACTTTTGGTACACCTGAATGCATTTAAACTTTTTGGAATTTTGTTACCCTCATAACTCCGCAACCGGATGTTGCGTGCGAATACGGATTTCACGCCTATGTATACAAATCATTTGTCTACACATTGTCAAAAAGCAACCCAAAAAAGTGATTGGAAGTGCGCGAAAGCGAATATTCCCGTGTATGTACACGAATTTGGTGCTATGTACCGGGCCAAATCCCTTAATCTATCAGCAGCAATTACTAACGAAAGCCCGATCCTTCATCTTCAAATGTTGTCACTGCACTACGATACCCTGCCATTTAGCAAGTCACTCTCAGCAGGGCGACATCCGTGGGAAACCGAGAAACGGCCGAAAAATGCACCGAAGGGGGAATCGAACTCCGGCTACGTCGTTAGATCCGCGTAGGCAGTACCCGGATGAGATTTCTCAGGCACTCGCGGTGCTGATCCACATTATCACTACTCCCGCCGCTCTCGTGCACTTCCGGTGACAACAGCAACTCATACAGCCGAGCGAACCCGCCCATCCGGATGAACTTATCCGCCCACACGTGCGTAATATCCGCCCGCACCACCGGAGAGCGGTGCGCGTTGGGATCGCGGTAAAAGTTATCCAGCGCCATGCAGGGAATACAGCAAGCGATGCGCATCATCACTGGGCAAGATTCTCCTCTAACTCTCCGGGGTGGACTGATGATGCGGCGGTTCCATGCTGATCTGATCGGACACGGTCAACGAGGTAGGAATCAGCATGAAGGAATCCCAAAGATTCTTCGTTACTTGTTTCCCCAGTGTCTCGCGTTCCTGATCGCCCTGGGTGGCATGGGCCAGTAGATTTAGCATGTCCTGCAGTTGGAAAAGGATCTCGAAGTTGGCCGGCAAAGAGACCAGCAGCATGGGGACGGTGTCGCGGCACGGCGCGGGTGGGTACTCGTTGGGGTGTTTGACCTTGAATTTCGGCACTTTCCTTTGGTTTTGACCGATCTCCACACGGTTGGCGTTCTCCCGCCGGAAACTGAGATCGCACAACTGGGCACAAGTCTGGTCGTCCTTCTCCGGGATCAGTTCTTCGTTCCGGAAATAAATACTGAAGGGTCCTATAAAAAACAGAAGACATTTCTGCAACTTACTGGTAAAGTTTGTAACGATTTATAAAAATTAACTCACAAAAACATTACATATGTAACAACGATTTACATACAACGATTATTAACACGCTCTATCCATTTGGTTGCAAGAAACGCTTTCATGACAGCCACGACACTACACGTCATGCCGAAGTAACAGACTAATGGTACTGCACTTGATATCGCAATATATCATATCAGAATAATCAGATCATCAATAAATTCTAGCATCTGCCGCTGCCTCATCTTTCGTTCGTACTTCGTAGGAAGGTATAAATATCAGCCAGAAAAAACCTCGATATCCCTCTCCACCGATGGATTCTTGTCATAATGCCGCCACACATAGTACACCAGTTCCGCTCGCAACTCAACGAGAGAGTACCCCGAAAACATAGTCAACGTGGTTTCGTGCGGACGCTTGTAGCCGGCAGAAAGGTTTACAGGTTAATGGTTTACGATCAAAGGCGTCGCGTAAACCTTTTTGCTGAAATCCGGCAGAAAGGTTTACGCTCCGTAAACCTTTCTGCCGAACTGCATTAATCTTTCTGCCGGATCCGTAAACCTTTCTGCCGGCGGTACCTTTGAAGCTTAAACCTTCCTGCGAGGTTCGTAAACCTTTCTGCCGGCAGCACATACGACTCGGCCTGAGGCGTACAATGAAGATTCAAGTTTGGCGTCTGCTGGGAATTGCCATTATAGGCCGTTGTGAGCTGGTTGATTCACAAGCTCAAGCGGGAAAGCTTGAGTACGTTCAAAAATATTTAACAGAATTTACAGAGTACACGCAGTACAGTAAGCGGAATACTCTCTCTAGACAAATTCCAGAAATTTATGTCATGCCGGTCGTCACGGTCTAAAGCATTGTGCTGACACTGATCATGAGTTTAAGACTTTGCTTTAAAAACCCAATGGTTTACGATGCGTAAACCATCCTGCCGGACTGCGTAAACCTTTCTGCCGGCGGCACCTTTGAAGCTTAAACCTTTCTGCCGGATCTGTTAACCTTTCTGCCGGCGGCATCCATTGATCAGACAATGCCCATGCGATGTCCTACATTCTCATTGTGCTGCAGGCTACAGTAAATAGTTCTTATTCTTGAGGTTTATTCGCATTCTGGACACCTTCACTATCAGAATTCGCGTGTTGGACTTCAAAGCCACGGTATGCTCCCCGTTATATCACCCCAAACCTTATAGTTTTTATTCATACGTGCACGAATTTGCATGAAAACAAGAATTATCACGTAATCCATTCTTTGAAAAAAGTTTTTGTCATTCTCCTGCTATGGAGCAACTGCCGTTTAAGTTCAATGAATTGCACTAATAAACCTTCAGTTATACCTAAGTTTATTATAACGGACTCGCAAATTTTACCAAAGGTACAGAAATTCGTTCATTCGATAAAAACCTGTGTGGAACAATTCAGAAAATATCTTACTCGAGTAGATTTGAAGTCCATTGCGCGAACACTTATTGTGAACGTGCCCGGAATACGAAAAAACGTCAAAGACCAAGAGCTGTCTAGTGTCGACTGTAATCTGTGCTTGCAGCACAATAAGCCTGTGGGCCATTGTGTGGGCATTGTCTGATCAATGGAAGCCGCCGGCAGAAAGGTTTACGGATCCGGCAGAAAGGTTAATGCAGTTCGGCAGGAAGGTTTACGGAGCGTAAACCTTTCTGCCGGATTTCGGCGGAAAGGTTTACGCGGTGCCTTTGACCGTAAACCATTAACCCGTAAACCTTTCTGCCGGCTACAGACGCTCATCGGGCAGATGGATCGTGGCGTGGAAGAAAAAGTATGGACGATTCGGTGGACCATTCATCGGCAGCGACTGCGCGTTGTGACTGGAAAAGCCCTTCCTTTGCAAAATAACTTCATAAATTTATAGATTTATAAAAAATCTCGCATCTGTATTATCTAACAACTTCAAGCACAAAACGTGTAACTGCTTTCATTCAAAAATTCTATCGTTCTTCCATATACACTCTATTCGGCAAATTTCTAACAAGAGCAACCTTCGCTAAAGTTGGGGCCGCAGCCGCCCAACGCCAAAACTGAACTATGTTACCACGGTGTTACGAGTGTTGGCAGACGATGGTAATACGATGAAAATACGACCATGGTTTGCTTCATTGTAGGGACACTCGGGGACTCTTCGTTAATACCCTAGTAACATAGTTAAAGGGAACCGTAGTAAGACCGTCGTAATTAAAAACGGTAGCGCAGCGCACTGTGCTACGCAACTACCGTAGAAATACGGTGGAGAATCAGACATTCTACGGTGGGAAAACAGTCGTACATATTTATTTCTGCATTTCGGCGGGTAAAACCGTCGTAACACGGTAGGATCTCCATTCGAACTGGAACTTTTAATTTATTAACCTCTTTCAGAAAATTATTGGTGAATCAACAGTGATAATTATTGATTCAAATTAAATAAAATTCCATACACTAGCTTTCGGCTTAGCTCTGTAAAACATTACGTAAGTAAAAAAAACAAACACGAGCTCTGCGAAGCAAACAAAAACAGGAATAATGTTCTATAGGCTGCTTAAACTAGTTCACTGCTCCGGAGCAGCGGAAT